AGATATTGTGAAAAAACGTGTTTTTTCAAAACTTTGAAGTGAAATTTGAATATAAAGATGAAGTCGGGGGAAGTTGGGTCAGTTACAAGGTTGAAGCACCACAACATGGAGAATATGATAGAAAAAGAGTTGAAGTCGTTCTGACATCGGGGAGGGTAGATGTGCCTGTTGACAACTTTTTTGTCAAAGTGGTAACTTTGAATTTAGGGTATTTAGAGGGGTCTGAGCAAAAAGTAGTTGGGAGAAAAGTTGTAGAGTGTGGTGGATTTCTTAAGAAAAAAGTTTGTTTCAAGTTGATTGGATTAACAGAAAAAAAGATATGGAGTAAAAATTAAAATTTTTAGGAGGTTGCATAAAAGTGACATTAACTATATTTTGTTTTGGAGTTAGAAGAAAAGTGATGGGAGATGAAAGATAGAGAATTAAATTCTGCATCGAATAAGCTTTGTTTTATGTTAATTAAACTTTTTTGCACCGAGTTATGAATTTTTTTAAAAATTAAAATTTTGGGAAAAAATTTTTAATTTTGACGATCTAGACCGTCCGATCTGGAAAGTTAAGCAACGGTGAGCTGTTTTTTGTAACTTTTGAAGTAGTTATCGGAAAAATATGATTAAGGTGTCATTCGACGTGGAAAAATCAAGCTAATTTTTTGAAAATTTTTTGAAGGGGTCACTTGAGTCTGAGGGTGGAATATTTGAGTCTGAAGGCTAAAATCAGTGGAAATGAATTTAAAAAATTCTAAAAATTAATAAGAATATTAAAAAATAAATTTTTAGTAAAAAGTACACTTGAGTCTCATTTATACTTTCAGTCTGGGACTGAAATTTTTATAAAATTTTATAAAAATAAGGCAAATTAATTTATAAGTTAATTTTACGTTTAATTTAATTTTAAAATTCGTAACGCATTGCAGAAAACGCGTTGCCGGAGGCAACCGCCAGAATTAAAAATTATTTTTTTTTAATTCGGAACGAGTTGCAGTAAAGCGTTGCCGGAGGCAACCGCCAGAATAAAAAAATTTTTTTAATTGCCGGAACGCGTTGCAACCGCCAGACTTAAAAATTATTTTTTGAGAAAATCGGAACACGTTGCAGAAAACGCGTTGCCGAAGGCAACCGCCAGAAAGTAATGATATTTTTTAAACATTCGGAACGCGTTGCAGATAACGCGTTGCCGGAGGCAACCGCCGGAAGTTAAAATTATTATTTTAAAAATTCGTAACGCGTTGCAGATAACGCGTTGCCGAAGGCAACCGCCAGAAAGTAATGATATTTTTAAAAAATTCGGAACGCGTTGCATAAAACGCGTTGCCGGAGGCAACTGCCGCAAATTAAAATTATTTTTTTAAAAAATTCCGAACGCGTTGCAGATAACGCGTTGCCGAAGGCAACCGCCAGAAAGTAATGATATTTTTGAAAAATTCGGAACGCGTTGCAGATAACGCGTTGCCGGAGGCAACCGCCGGAAGTTAAAATTATTATTTTAAAAATTCGGAACGCGTTGCATAAAACGCGTTGCCGGAGGCAACCGCCAGAATTAAAAATTGTTTTTTCAACTAGGAACGCGTTGCAGAAAACATGCGGGCCGAAGGCCCGCATGTTTATTTAATGACTTAAATTTAAAAATTTATAACTTTTGAAGTATTAGTCGTAGAGAGATGGTTTATGTGTTATTCGATAGGGAATTGAATGAGGAGTTGAATGAAGATATTTTTAAGAGTGTCACTTGAGTCTGAGAATGGTCATTTGAGTCTGAAGATACAAAACACTGGGAAATTGATCCAAATTAATTTAAATCAGTTGTAATAACGCTGGAGTCAGCCTTTATACCCAAAAGCAATTAAAACTACTCAGCAATTCGCGCCGAACGCTGGTTATCTATATATAATAGTAAAAGGGCAGTCAGCTAAAAAAAAGTCCCCAGAGCTTTTGAGTGGGTGTATCGGGGTGGGGTTTTTTGCTATAGATGCGCAATACAATGTAGTTTTCAGGAAAAATCCGAAAAGTTGGGGGAAAGGGGCGAGTTTTTTAGATATTTTGAAAAAACGTGTTTTTTCGAAACTTTGACGTGAAATTTGAATACGAAGATGAAGTCGGGGAAAGTTGAGTCAGTTACAAGGTTGAAGCACCACAACATGGAGAATATGATAGAAAAAGAGTTGAAGTCGTTCTGACGTCGGGAAGGGTAGATATGCCTGTTGACAACTTTTTTGTCAAAGTGGTAACTTTGGATTTAAGGTGTTTAGAGGGGTGGGAGCAAAAAGTGGTTGGGAGAAAAGTTGTAGAGCGTAGTGGAGTTCTTAAGAAAAAAGTTGGTTTCAAGTTGATTGGAATAATTTAAAAAAAGATATGGAGTAAAAAGTGCATTTTTGGGGAAGATGTATAAAAGTGACATTAACTATATCTTATTTTGGAGTTAGAAGAAAAGTGTTGGGAGATGAAAGATAGATCTTTAAATTCTGCATCGAATAAGCTTTGTTTTATGATTTTTGGACTTTTTTAGACAAAGCTATGAATTTTTTAAGAAATTAAAATTTTGGGGAAAAATTTTTAAATTTGACGATCTAGACCGTCCGATCTGGAAAGTTAAGCAACGGTGAGGCGTTTTTTGTAACTTTTGAAGTAGTTATCGGAAAAATATGATTGAGGTGTCAATCGACGCGGAAAAATCAGGCGAATTTTTTAAGATCATTTTTGAAGGGGTCACTTGAGTCTGAGGGTGGGATATTTGAGTCTGAAGGTTTAAATCAGTGGAAATTAAATTTAAAAATTATAAAAATTAAAGGGAATATTAGAAAATGATTTTTAGGAAAAAGGACACTTGAGTCTCATTTTTTAATTTGAGTCTGGGACTGAAATTTTTATAAAAATGTTAAACTCTAATATTTTTTAAAAAATAACTTTAATTCGGAACGCGTTGCAGAAAACGCGTTGCCGGAGGCAACCGCCAGAATTAAAAATTATTTTAAAAATTCGGAACGCGTTGCAGAAAACGCGTTGCCGGAGGCAACCGCCAGAATTAAAAATTATTTTAAAAATTCGGAACGCGTTGCAGAAAACGCGTTGCCGGAGGCAACCGCCAGAATTAAAAATTATTTTAAAAATTCGGAACGCGTTGCAGAAAACGCGTTGCCGGAGGCAACCGCCAGAATTAAAAATTATTTTTAAAATCTGGAACGCGTTGCAGAAAACGCGTTGCCGGAGGCAACCGCCAGACTTAAAAATTATATTTTAAAAATTCGTAACGCGTGCAAAAAACGCGTTGCCGGAGGCAAACGCCAGGAATTAAAATTATTTTAAAAAATCGGAACGCGTTGCAGAAAACGCGTTGCCGGAGGCAACCGCCAGACTTAAAAATTATATTTTAAAAATTCGTAACGCGTGCAAAAAACGCGTTGCCGGAGGCAAACGCCAGAATTAAAAATTATTTTAAAAATTCGGAACGCGTTGCAGAAAACGCGTTGCCGGAGGCAACCGCCAGAATTAAAAATTATTTTTAAAATCTGGAACGCGTTGCAGAAAACGCGTTGCCGGAGGCAACCGCCAGACTTAAAAATTATATTTTAAAAATTCGTAACGCGTGCAGAAAACGCGTTGCCGGAGGCAACCGCAAGAATTAAAAATTATTTTTAAAATCTGGAACGCGTTGCAGAAAACGCGTTGCCGGAGGCAACCGCCAGACTTAAAAATTATATTTTAAAAATTCGTAACGCGTGCAGAAAACGCGTTGCCGGAGGCAACCGCCAGACTTAAAAATTATATTTTAAAAATTCGTAACGCGTGCAGAAAACGCGTTGCCGGAGGCAACCGCCAGAAAATTATTTTAAAAATTCGGAACGCGTTGCAGAAAACGCGTTGCCGGAGACAACCGCCAGAATTGAAAATATTTTTTTAAATTCGAAATGCAAGACAGAAAACATGCGGGCCGAAGGCCCGCATGTTTTTTATGACTTAAATGTAAAAATTTATAACTTTTGAAGTATTAGACATAGAAAGATGGTTGAGGTGTCATTCGATGGGGAATTGAATGAGGAGTTGAATGAAAATATTTTTAAGAGTGTCACTTGAGTCTGAGAATGGACATTTGAGTCTGAAAATACAAAACACTGGGAAATTGATCCAAATTAATTTAAATGAGTTGTAATAACGCTGGAGTCAGCCTTTATACCCAATAAGCTTATTTACATGTCAGCAATTCGCGCCGAACGCTGGTTTTTTTTTCTTTAATTTTATTTCCATCTCCGAAAATATTTTTAATATTTAGGTTATTTTTTATTTTTTTTTGTTCTGTTACGCAACAAAAAATAAACAATAAATTTTTTAGATACTTCGGGAATTAAGCAAAATATTTTGTTGAAAGCTTAAAGAAAGAATAACCTCTAAATCGTTTTTTGGTTATTCAATTCTATTTTTACCCCTATATTCCCCGAAGGACCACCAACGATAAGAAAATATTTTAAACAATTTTAGGAAATAGATTCATTTTATTTTAGTTTATTTTTAAATTAAATTTTTGTTTTTTTATAGTTTTCCAAAATCATTTGTGGATTTAACCAATTTAGCAAGTCTTAATTTATCAAATAATTCACTTACACATTTGCCGGCGGATATTGATCATCTTGTTAATTTACAGGTTTTTCTTTTAATTTATTTTGAATAGAATGGGCCTTTTTCATTTTTGCCGAATATTAATTTTTCTGAATAACTTTTTTGGAGGTTTTAAGTAGAGAATTTTTTAATTAAAAATCTTTCCGTGACAAATTTTTGAATTTTTCATACAAGCTAAAAGATAAAAATTTCTGGTGACAAAAGAATCCTTCAAAATTTTTAAAACACAAATCTGTCTGAAAATTTAATTTTTATTTTTAATCAATTTTCTTAAAGTTTTTGGATATTGCCCAATGTGAATTGCGTGCTTTGCCCCCCTCAATTGTTCGGCTACGTCTTTTAAAAGTTTTGGATCTTTGTGACAATTATTTGACAGATCTTCCCTCAGAAATGGGAGGTTTAGTTAGTTTGGAAATGTTGGATCTTCATTGCAATATGGTCAGTCATTTACCTGAAAGTCTTTTAAATTGTGGAGCTTTGCGGTCTCTTGATATGAGTGGAAATCAATTAAACGAATTACCGGCAAATATTGGGGATTTGAAAAATTTGATGGAATTGACTATTTGTGAAAATCAAATTAGACAATTGCCGAGCTCTATTGGTTTGTTTTTTTTTAATTTTTTTTCAAATCAAATTTTTTGAAGGTCAATTAAAACGTCTCGAATCACTCAAATGCGCAAAAAATTGTTTGTCAGAATTAACTCCCTCAATTTGCTCGTGTGTTCAATTAACAGATTTAATTCTTTGCGAAAATCGACTAAACGTTTGTTTTGTTTTTTTTTCTAATTTTTTAAAAATTATTTTAAAGGAATTACCAGCAAGTATTGGAAATCTTTCTAAAGTAAGTTTAAATAATTTGAATATTTCTTGTTCTTTCCTTTTTTATTTTTTTATTTATGGATTTATCTTTCTTATGTTAAAGGCGTATGTATGTAGTAGGGGTGTGCCGAAAGTGATTTTAAAAAGCGAATGACGAAAAGCGAAACTCGCGCACCCCTGGTATGTAGGTCTGATTTAGTGAAGTCATAATCGGATTTTTATAAATTACTTTGAAGGAACCATACGTTCCTTGATACACCCTTTCAATCTTATAAGGCATTTTCACTGATTTAATTTTATTTTAGTCGTCTTTGCTCTTCCTTACTTCACTTTCCTGAATTTTAAAAATTAATAAAATAATTTAAAAATTTATTTAAAAATTTTAAGCTCCGTTTTTTGGATGTTAATGTAAACAATTTACGTTCTATTCCTTCAACAATTGGTGGGTGCTCATCTTTAACAATTCTTTCACTTCGTCATAATCAAATAAATGATTTGCCTTTTGAAATTGGAAGATTAAATGTTTGTTTAATTAATTTTTAATTTAAAATATTTTTTTAGAATTTACAAGTTCTTGATTTGATTGACAATAATTTGAAATACTTGCCTTATACATTAACGTATTTTTAAATATTTTGAAGGAAAAAAATGTTTTGGAATTTTATAGGGTTCTTTACAAAGCTAAAACTCTAAATGCTCTGTGGCTTTCATTTAATCAACCATCATTACCCAAATTAAGTACTATAAATGCTCCAGTTACGAATGTTAAGGTTTGATTGTTTTTAAAATTTTTCTTAAAATAAATACAATTAATCTGAAATTTTAAGTTAAATAATTGTGAAATAGTGTACAAGTTATAATACTAGTTTGGATATTTTTTCGTGTTGGGGTTCGAATATCTGGGCATGTATCATATGAACTAGGGTATGACGAAACCATTTAATATTATGAACATTTGAAAAATCACCCAGATCATTTAACCCTAATCCTTTATCTTGCTTTCCATTTCCCTAGCCTTATGATACCACTCAAAAACCACAATTTCTTGTATTAAATTTCCGGCGACGGGAATCACATTGATTTAGAATCTAGACGCGATAGTGATTCAGCTCGATGATCTTAAATTTCTTTAAATTTAAAGGTGCTCACTTGTTATTTACTTCCTCAACAAGAACAACCACAAAAACAATCTTCACAACTCAAAACCTCTTCTTGCGTTGGAGGTGCTCGTGTATGTTTTGCTGGTGATCGGGCAGAAGAATTTGAAGAAGATAAAGTTCCGATTGGGAAATTTGAACGTTATGATACTCCACACCCAAAACCTTTTGCTCCAAAAAATAGAAATCGAAATTCTACTGAACTTTCTGCAGGTGTCACTCTTCCTTTAAGTTCGTCTAGAAGTGATAAATCTGAGGTTTATTTTTTGTTTTCAGATTTTGGGTAGTCTTCTTTTAATTTTAAAGGCCCAGAACATTTCTGGAAATAAATCCAATGATCAGTCTGTTATCGAGGAAAGTCGTCCACTTCGTTCTGTTCTCAAAAGACGACCCCAATCTGTTCTTTCATTAATTTCTACTTCTGAATTATTACCTGCATTATTGGGAGCAAATAATAATTCAACAGAAAATGGAGAAACACCAGGAATGAAAATGAAAAAATCTGTTCGGAAAAATATTCAATTGAAGAGAGGAGATGCAGGATTTCAATGGACAATTGTTGGGGGATCTGATTCTCTTCCTTACAATGTTTATATTTTTTAAGAAAAGTTTTTGACTTCATTTTTATTTTTTATAGGGTAAAAACGGTCTTTTCATTTCTCAAATTGTTCCTGGTGGTGTAGCTGAAAAGGCTGGATTCCGAGTTGATGACCAAATACTTGCTGTGAATGGCGATGACATTCGAGGACTTAGTCATTCTGATGTTGTGAAATTTATTAAAAATGCTGGAAATGTTTTAGAATTTTTGGTGGAAAGAGATCAATTTATTGATGATCAAATGGTACGATAATTAATATTTCTTTAAATAATTTTTCTTTTTAAGCAACGTTCAACTTCTTGTCTTGCAACCCAACAAATTTTTTCTGCCAATTCAAAACCTAATGAGCGTCACTCTTTTCGTATTATTCGTGATGGGAATGGTTGTGTTCCTTTCACTGTTTCTGGCAATGGAAGATGGCCACAAGATCCTTTCTCTATTTCGGCAATAAAAACAAGTTTTGAATGTCCACTTTTGCCGGGTGATAGAATTATTTCAATTGATGGAACAAATGTCAAATTTGGTGCTAGATTAGATCAGGTTCTTGTTTTTCTTTTAAAAAATCTCCATGAAGACCATGTCATTTAATTTTTCAGGTTCGAACTCTTTTGACTGGATTGCCAGGAACAAATGTAACAGTCGGCATTGAGAGAGGCAATTATTTACCTGACAATGTCCAAAATGATAATTTACAAGTTACTCCATTAACTTGCAGTACAGCTTTTAGTGAATTGAGTCTTTCACGTTCTTTGCCATCTTTGTGTGTTGTTACTAATGATTTGGCTAATCAACAACAACAACAAAAGAAACCAATAATTAATGGTTTTTATTTTGCTAGATATTTCTTTAAAATATTTATTTAGGTGTTTCATCTGTCCCTCCCCAAAATAAAAATATTTCTCAACTTCAACAACAACATCATTTCAATCGCCATTCAAGTCTTCGATCCAACCCAACAACTGCATTTTCTGCAACTAGACCGCCTCTTCCACTTCCTCGACATCATCGTTCATTAAGCAATTTAGCAGAAATTGAACAAGGGAATAAAATTACTCCCGAAATGTTACGTTCTTCAACACCGATAGAATATCCACCTGGGGAAGAACCAAAAATATTTTGTCAAAATAATTCTGTTAACAATAACGAGGATAAACAACAAACGGTTAATTTTTTAAAGATTATTCCTTTTAAATTATTTTTTAAAGTTATCCAACCAAATAAAATCAAATAATGTTGTCAATTTACAACAACCAAAGCCAACTAATTTTTCAAGTATTTTGCCTCCTTCACCAGCAAAAATTTTATCTTCCCCTACCAATAATCGAAATACTTCTTTTTCTCCAACACAAAAAGCAACGAATTATATAAATAATAATGGATTTTCTTCAAAACCTTCAAAAATAGAGAAACCTTTGGCTACTTCAACGCCTATTCCACCACAAGAAGTTGTTTCAAATTTATCACAAATAAAATCTTCACACATCCCAAAACCAATGACAAATAGCAGTCCTCCAGTAATTGATGTTGGAAATAGTAAAATTCCTCCCCCAATTGCGCCAAAACCTAAGGTTGGTTAAAATTTTAATTTAGGAAAATTTTTGTTTAATTAAGACAGTTATTTTCTAAAATTGAAACAAAAAATTTTTTTTTGTGTTTACCCGTTCAACTCTTAAAAAATATAATTTTTTAAGGTAACACATGATCCATCAATAAATTCAACAAAAACAACAAATATTGCTTCAATTGAACAGAATAATTCAAAGCAGTCGTCCGTGCCGTCATTCAGTTCCAAACTGAAGCTATTCGAGCATTTGCAGACGACCAATAATTCTGTTTCGACAAATGTTGGAAATGTTACAACAATTCCACAACGTCCTTCAGGAATTCCGTTAAAGAAACCTTTAGTTAATCCTCAAGAAATGGAAAGACTTCGAGAAACATCTTTTGGGTCTCTAAATAATAAAAAAGTTTTGGGAAATGATTTTTCTTTACAAGAAGAGGATGAAGAGGAAGAACATTTAAATTCTGTTGAACAGCTAGACTCGTTACTTAATGATAGGTAAATTGAGAGGGGGGAGAGGGAAGGGGGATTTCTTTTGTTTAATTAGGGTAGCACTCAGAGCCTTCGGGAGCGGGATCGTCGGGGATTTTTGCCAAGAAATAGCCGGGGGTCTGCCCCACGTGGATGGGCGTCGGGGATCGGGGTAGAGTCTTCGGTGTTCGGGTCGGGGTTTTTTATTAAAAATTCGTCGGGGTTTTGGGTGACGGGATGCTACCCTAGTTTAAATTTTTAGTCGATCTGACCAGCCTTCAATCATTCGAACAAAGAAAGCTGAAATTAGAGCTGAAAGGGATAGAATTACTTCATCTCCATTAATGGTAAATGGGACTACTGATCAGCAACGAAGTGATACCCCTCAATCTAGAGCTAGTTCTTCGCTTAGCCAAAGAGCTGCAGAAATTGAAAAACGTAAACTTTAAAATAAAATTTCCTTTAAAATCCTTTTTAGGCAGAGAATGGAGACAAGCCAGACTTCAAAGTATGGATGTTGAATCTAGACGTACAGGGGATTTGGTAAAAATAATTGCTAATGCCACAACGACAGAAGCGTCAGCTTCAACATAAAAAATATATAAATAAATTGTTAAATATATATTTTAAGTTTGCAAATATTTTTTAATATAAAAATGGGAGGATTTGAGGGTTCTAAATTTGAAAAAAAATATTTGCAAAATATCCCGAATAAAAACTCATTCCAAAAAATATTTTCTTTTAATTGTTCCCATCTTTTTGTGCAATTTTCCTATATTTTTTGTAATATTGCACAGTTAATATATCTTTATAATTTTATGTTAATTGCCAAATAATATTATTTTAAATAATTATTTTCGCACATGTTTTTTCTAAAAAAATATAAATAATGATGGTATTTGCTTTTTAAAGTAGAATCTATTTTTGTATTTTTTAATTAAAGGGGTAAACAATCCAAATTTTTCGGAGGTATCTTCGGTCCATTTTCTGAAAAAACTCTTTGGAGTTATTTTAAAATCTTAGATTTTTACATAAAAACAACGATATTTAACGGCATTATTTTAATTATAATATTCGAGAACAATTCTACTTTTCATTACTACAAGTTACTTCGAGTTGTTATATGAATCCTTATTTTCTTCACTTAATGTTAAAAAGTTAAATCATGTTATAATTCTCCCCCTCCCTCTACTTTCCATTGTCCGTACATGAGGATTTTCCATAAAATTCTTAATGATTTCATAACTTAGTTAACTTTATTTTTCTATTCACTTACACACTCTCTTAGTCTTTAAAAAATTTATTGTTAGCACCTTTAATCTTAATTGACATATCCACCACGTACACATTTATGGCAATAAAACTAAACCTATTAAATACCCATAATTTAAAAATATGTACAACATTTTTACCAAAATTTTCACACAATTCCAATAATATCAATTTCTGTTATTTATCATCGTTTAAAGAATAAAATCTTTAATTTCTTTGTGTGCAATAATTTTAAGCTCTAGGAGGCGTGGAGGGAATAAACTTGGGGAAATAAACTTGGGCTCTTTTGTTTGTTTTTCTAGTTGGATCGTTTTATTTTAATAATTAAATTAAATTCACTAGACAATAAAAGATCCTTTTAAATCACTCGCAGTTACAAAAATATTTTATAAATTTATTATAAATTAATAAGTGCATTTAAAGTAAATAAAGCGCGCAGTATAATAATTGAAAAGGAATTTTATTTTTAAAAGTTAACATTTTTTTCTTTAAAATTTAAATAAAATGTCAAATAATATTGCACAATGATTTAATTTGAGGACTTTTTGCTTCTCCAAATTTACACCAAGTTGCAAAATGTTCACAATTCCACGTCCAAAGGCGATATTCTCTTTTTCCTAGCTGGATAGAAATTAAAAAAATTTAAATTTTTTTCAGTAGGTTAAATTAAAAATAATTTTGTAATCCCTAAAATACTCCTAGAAACGAAATATGCTGGTAATTGATGTAAATATTTATGTGAATAAAATGAATCATTCAACAAAATGGATAGGTGATGAAAATTTTATTGTTGGATTGATTACTTTTTATCGAATCGAGCTTGTGACAAAGCGAAAGTTTTTGTAAAGTTGAGGGTGGTCGAAATCTTTTTATCAGGTTATCGTGACCAGGGCTGCACGCAATTACGGATGCGTGGGTTTTTTGGCAATCCCGGAGAATCGTGGTCCCTGCGGAAAAAAATCTTAAAAATAAGAAAAAGTATTTTTCTAGTGTAAAAAATTATGCTGATTACGAATCTGAACTCAGATTTTCAAAAAGTCGAATCCCGAACCCGGACCGAATTTCGAACCCTGAACCCGAATTTCGAATATGCAAGTGATAGCTCGTTCGAAAGAGCTCGTTGAGCTGCATCGAATGACACCAAAATCAACGCGATCAGACCAGTTTCGACAAAGTTATGACATGAAGTAAACCTATGGGAGTGCTGTAGGAGTCGGCAACTTATGTCATAACTTTGTCAAAACTTGATCAATCACTGTAATTTTGATGTCATTCGACTCATCTCGACGAGCTCTTTCGAATGAGGTATCATTTGTATAAACTTTTTTTTACTCCAAAAAACCACCCCTGTGGTTTTTCAATATTCAGGGGTCTGTATCTCGGTCCAATCCGGTCGGATCTCATTGATTTAAGTGTCATTCGATGCAACTCGATGAGTTCTACACATCGAGCTCCATTTTGTACAATAAACATTTGTACCAACCATTTTGTACAATTTCCGACAATGTCCAGGGTCAAATGTCCGAATTCGGGTTCGGGATTCGACTTTTTGAAAATCTGAGTTCAGATTCGTAATCAGCATAATTTTTTACCCTAGAAAAATACTTTTTCTTATTTTTAAGATTTTTTTCCGCAGGGACCACGATTCTCCGGGATTGCCGGTTTTTTGACTTGCTGATTTTAAAATTAAAATTGCGGCTGCGGAAAATTTTTTGCAGTTGCGTGCACCCCTGACCCCGAAAGTTTTAAATATGAAAATATAAGGACGAGGAGACGGATAAAACAAAAACAGTATTTAAATTACCCTTAGTTTTCAGTAGGTTAAATTAAAAATTATTTTGTAATTCCTAAAATAGTAATTAAATATTTTAAATTAATTTTTCAATTTCCCACCTCTTTCCTCGCTCTTTCAACCACTTCATTACCACTAAATTTAGCTTTTCCCAATGTTCCTTCCATATTATCAATCCACCATTTATAATTATTTGCTGAATTACGAAAATCCTCCACCGTCCAAATAACTACTCCCCCACCCGTTTTCACATTAAAAGCCATTTTTGCATCAGTAATCCAATTTTGTTCGCTACCTTCTATTTCTCCATTAGAATTCCTTGTACAATAAGCACAAAAATTATGAATAATTGTGTGTTCACCAATTCCATCTGTTTCGCCTACATAAACACCTCGATGCTTAAAATTGATATTTTTAAGTAAAAAATAGAGAAGGGTATTAAAATTGGGGCTTTTAAGTTTAAAATATGGAAATTATTTAAACAAACTTACGATAACATTTTTAAAGCCAGCAGTCATTTCACATGCAACGAGGTCTCCAACTTGTAACTTGTCAACATCTAAAAAAATTTTTTTTAAGAAAATAAAAAATTAAATTTTCAATACTTACCCATTGTTCCAATAAATTTTGCCTTAAAAAACTTTGCACAATATAAAAAATGAGAATAATTATTTAACAAAAATCAATTTATTTTTTCTCTGCTGAAAAGAATAAATATGTAGAATGTTTTTTAGTCATTCAAATGATGAAAGAGGAGAACACAGAGTTTATGCCGCGTACTCAAAGAAGGAAAATTTATGTGAGACTGAAACAGCCATTGCAAGAGCCTGAAATTCTGAAAACCCGGAAAATGAAGCTATAAAGAAACTGAGTAACCTGGGACCGGGAAGATTGGGTTTCTACTTTTTCCGGTCAAAAAAATGACGGAAAATTTTTATTTTTTTTTTGCAGAAAATGCCAAAAATCTAAAAAAAATATTTAAACACTCACATCAATCACGCTTCCGATTCTCAAAATCTGACATTTATCTTTTATGTAAGCTCGTCTCCTTCTGCATTTTAGGGGTAGGGGATCATTGAGTCCCGCCGTTTGAGTCCCAGGGCCATATTTTGGGCCATAACTTTTTTGGGGTTTCAAACAATTCAAATAAATCTTTTATCATCTGAAAGCCCTAGATAAGGAGATTATTTTCGTCAACTAGATTGATTTGATCAGACCATCCTACAAAAAGTTACATCTAGATAAGTGCGCGCAATCGTGATTTTTGATCTTTATTAAGCTGTAACTTTTTGTTTGTTGATCTGATTAGATCACTCCTGCTAGATAAAATAATCCTTATATCAAGAGCTTTTGATTGATATATTAAGTATCTAAATTAATTAAGAATTGAAAAAGTTATGGCCCAAAATATGGCTCAGGGACTCAAACGGCGGGACTCAACTGGGACGTTCCGGCATTTTAGGGTACAGCCCAAGTAGGCGCGCGGCCAAGTAGGCGCAAAGCCATAACTTGCTTCAAGATCGAATCTTTCAAAATTTAGCAATATACGATTTCTCTCATCGAGCTAAAGAGATTGGTACCAAAATTGTCAAGGTCCAGAAAATTTCCAGGTAGTTATGGCTTTGCGCCTACCTGGCCGCGCGCCTATTTGAGCGTGTCCCTGCATTTTATTAGGAACGGAAAATGGGACTGGACTCGACACCATATCAGACTCTAGTTACAGCCACATTTAAATTTAAAGCAAAATACAGTAATCTAAACATAACGCCAAAACGATGACAGAAAATTCTCGACTGCAGTATTTAAGCTCCTAACTTTCATTCATTCTATCATTTTTACTTTGCTTTTTGAATTTATTAATTTTTACCTAATTGCATTAGTTTTCTATACTTTTTGTTGTTTTGTTTATTGCATGTCGTTTAACGTTTCTATAAAGTTTTTTTTTAATTTTAGATTTCCTCAATTTTATCCTTTTATTTTTCTCAACATAAAGTAAAGTATTTGTAAAATGTCGACCACTACCGCTGATAAGAAGGAGAAGCGTAAGAAGCGCAAACTTGTAATTTCAATATTTGCAAGCTTTAATCATTTTCTCTTTTTAAGAAGGCAATTGCTGAACCTGCAAAGGACTTTCGAATCAAGGATCAACATGGGCTTTGTTCAATGTTTCTTATTACCGTCGAGAAGGGAAAAATGGCCTATCGCTATGATGTTGACGTTCAAAACGTAACCAAACAGAAGAACTTGTCGAAAGGGGCGGACGAGTATGTTTATATTTTAAACTTGGGATTGTCTTGTGAGAGTTTCCCATCCGTTGGTTTAATGTCGGTCCCTGGTTCTCAAGTTTTTGCAATCCCTCACAAATCAATTTTTTCAGTGGGCAACGAGCGCTTCATCGCAACATTTGCTACGAGTTGTTGACTGTGGCGTATGGGAAAACTAACGCTTTTGGGATGCCTGTTGGAAGTGAGATTGTCTACAACTGCAAGAGCTTGATGTACACTTCTGCTCCAATCAACATGGCAGAGGT